ATAAAAATTTATTTATTAGTTTTAAAAATAATAACTTCCAATAATATAATAATAATAAATTAGTTATTATTTATAAATAAAATTACTTATAAAAAATCAAACTTTCAATAATAATAATAAATAAATAAATATTATAATAATAATAGTTTTTGCTTATTATTTTTATAAAATTATTAACTTCCATTTTATTTCTCCTTTATCAAACACTTTTATTTCTACTCTATTTCTTAACTATTTTCTTACACTTCTCTTGATTTCTTTTCCATCCATTTCTTTCCTTTTTAGCAAACATAACCCAAGTATAAATACAGAAAACATGGGAAGAGGTTTTGAACTTGACATAAACAACATCTGATTGACAAGGTATGGCACTAACCCAAGTAACAAGGTTCTCTTGTCCAGTTGGCTGTGACATGTCCACAGGCTTCCTACCAGTAAGCAGTTCCAGCAAGACAACACCATAGCTATAAACATCACTTTTAACAAGCAGGTGTCCAGTCATGGCATATTCAGGAGCTACGTACCTACATAAAAGTTTCATTTAACCTTAAAATATTAAATTATATGTATGGAAATAACAAGTCTAAAAGAATAACCCAAATAAAACTCAAATAACCCAAATGATATCAAGACTAACCCAAATGTCCCCATGACACGAGTAGACAAATAATTAGATCTGCCTTCAGGTGCTTGCTTAGCAAGACCAAAATCTGCAACCTTAGCATGAAAGTTGTTCTCAAGCAATATGTTGGATGCCTTGAAGTCTCTATGTATTACACAGGGCTGAGAGTCTTCATGCAGGTATGAAAGTCCCCTTGCAGCATCTAGGGCAATCTTCATTCTGGTGTCCCAATCCAAAGGACAACTGATTCCCAAGGGACCTGACCCGAACAAACAAATCAAGGCCGATTTCAGTTTAAGGCATAAAACACGTTTTGGAAAAAACTATACTAGGTACAATAAGTCAATAATAGAACAAAGAAAACATGTAATGTTCAATGCTAAAAGCTGAACCCGTGATTCAAAAAATTACATTACCATGAAGCCAAGCCTCCAAGCTTCCATTAGGGACAAGCTCATAGCAAAGTAAATTCTGTGATGAGTCACGATTACTATAGTATCCCACTAGTTTTACAAGGTTGCGATGATGCAACCGGCTAAGCATCTCAACCTCAACCAAAAACTCCTTGTCACCCTGTTGCCCTCCACTTGTAAGCCTCTTAATTGCTACAGGAGTACCATCGTTTAAGATGCCTTTAAAAACTCTACCAAACCCTCCTTCTCCAAGTACGCTCGCTGGTTCAAAATTGTTTGTTGCTTCTTTAAGCTCTTCAAAAGCAATAAACCGTGTACTAGTTGGGTGGGGAAGAGAACCCACAGTTGAAATTGCACTCTCTGTCCTTGGCTTTTCTGCACGAGAGAAAACATTAGTAGCAGAGACAAGAATGCAATACAAAAACCACAAGATAATGAAAACAAATTTTAAAATAACATCTACAACTATTACTACCACTACTAATACGAATCCTATACAGATGGGAGCATCATAAAATTCTATTAACTTCATCAACAACCTGTCATTTCTTCATAAATCACCCATTTTGAGTCTCATAAAACATTCTACCTTAATGCTCAAAAAGTAAAAACATGTAGGGTGAAATCCTGATGAAAAATTAAGTTACTCAACTAAGATCAATAGATGTCTTTTCTATTTTGCTACAAACATACTTCAAGCTGTGAGAGTGGTGACAAGTGACAACTGGCAATTCTCATCCTCATTTTATAAACATTCTAGCATGAAATCCTAAAGAAGAATCAAGTTTCTCAACAAAGTAAAAATAATAATATTTTTTAAAAAACATTACTATCATTGTCACAATTCGCAACCTTCAGCATAAGATTTTTGAACGAGTGGGAGTCAATAATTTCAATCTTCATTCCCGATTCAGGAGGAGATTCTCAATAATTTCAATTTTCTTTCCTGATTCAACAGTTGAAATTATATACTTCAAGTTTCATGATCCCAAGTCAGAATATATTCACATCCCACTCTATGATTTCAATTTTCAATTATCAATTCCGGAGGATAAAATTGCATTATAAACAAGGTTCAAGATCCAAATCCACAATACACTCATAAACACCCACATTCAACTCCAAATAAAAAGTTCCGATAATTAATTTATGAATTGTTTTCAAATATTTTAATTTTTTTCCCAATTCATCAGAGGATAAAATTGACATATAAACAAGATTCATGATCCCAATTCTTAACACACTTATAAAACATTCATATTCAACCCCAAAAAGAAAAAGGACTATACATTAATTTATGAACGCTTTCTTTATCACTTGTGCCAAACAATTACATCTTTATAGTGGAATATGCTCCTTCCCAGACAACTCTATTTGTGTATGTGTGTGCATGTGCAGGAATGTGACTATCATGTGAGCATACTAGTTCATTTTCTTTATGTCATACTTGTAGTTGTAGTTTTCTTTTCCCTTTAAATACTCTCTCCCTGGTTAACGTTTCTATGACAAGTAATTTTTACCTTTACATGGATTAATTTGCTTCTATCTACTGTTAATATTCTGTAATTACTGAAGCTATAAGATCCAAATTATACAAAGGTAGCCAAACATAATCCACAATAACTAGGTTGGTAAAGGATTCCAAAATATGTCATATAAAAACAGAATTACAGTCATAGATAATTACCAGTTTCTATGGGAGGTGTGTTCGCTTTTGGCAGGTATGTACATAAACAAAATACAAGTATGGATACAATAGCAATGAAGAATATGCCAATAGCAATTCCAAGAATAAGAAACAAATTTGAATCCCTTCCTCTTTCTGGAGAACTCGATGATGTTGCAGTAGGTGAATGATACAAAGGTGTTTTCACAGGTGATGCAGCTAAAGTAGGAGCTGCGACATAGAAAGATATGTTAATATACATAAGGGACTTGTTTATCTAATTTATCTAATTATAGATATTAGTTAAAAAAAAAAAGTATCTGACTTTATTTTAGATAAACACCAAGGCCTTAAAGTGTATATAATAGTAATACTACCTTCGGTACTAATTATAAGCAATATAGGATAAATCATCAAGACCAAGAGAAGTAATTAAGTTGGTTGTTTTAAGTGGTTGTTATATTTAATGCTAGTTATAAGTGAATGTATAGAAATAGAGTTAGCAATTAATTAAGGGTATAAAACTTGTTATATTTAATTTCCCCTTGAATAACTTTAAAAACTAATGATTGTTGCTTATAATTACCAAAGAGAAATTCAATTTGTTTCTTATAATTAGGACCAAACAGTACTTAATTCAAACTGAAAAAGTAAATTTTTCTAAAAGCACTTCTAGGAGAGAGAAATAAGAAAAAAAATTAAAATAAGTTTTTCCATAAGCTAAACTTTATGCACGAGTTAAAATAAGATTTTGGAGAAACTAATATTAGAGAGTTTCTACAAATTAGCTTATACATAAGCTAATTCAAGCTTATGAAGAAATTTATTTCATTTTTCCTTCTTATTTTTCTCTCCTAGAAGTGCTCTCAAAAAAAGTTTACCCAAACAAGCCCATAGAGACATATTCTCTTAATAGTAGTATTCTCCAATTTTCTAGAGAGAGTGTCTATGTTCTCTCCTATAGTTTAGAGAGAAGTGTTGTAATTTCTTCCAAGTAGTGGAGTTCATCTTTTTTGCTCATTGTATATTTTGTTCCTCTTCTCTTATTTTAGAAACAAGTTATTATTTTGTTACTTTGATACTCCCAATGGTGATATTAGAGCTAATAGGTTGTTGATATTATTTCGTTGCGATGCACATTGGTATAGTTCTGAAGAAAATTCTTGGTATGCTATTTGATTGCAACATAGTCTGATCTACCACGAGTTATTCTTGTTACTGGATGTAGAGTGTGCTAGTGTGAGGGTGCATGTCTAGGAAAGATTTGGTATATAAGTACATCCATAAGTGACCCACCTCTTTTTCATAAGAACCTACGTAGTGTACTAGTTCACTGCCTATCGGAAAAATGATGGTAGACTATGAACTATACCAATGTGCATTGCAGAGGAATAATATAAATAACCTATTTGTGCCAGATGATGAACATAACTTCCTCTTCTCTTTACATTTCATAATCAACAAGGCAGAGAAAAACTTTCATAAGCGTTAGATTCAGTGGTAAAAACAAAAAATCTATGAGGAATCGCTCAGAAAGTTATCAAATAGACCCCTATAACATAAACATAACTTTCTCTTCTCCTTTCACTTTGGCAGAAATAATGTTATACATACAATAATATTGTCTTCATTAGTTCCAATGACCAAGAACACCAAAGCACCATTGATTAGTAATGACATATTTAAATACAAAGGCTCACTTACCTTGAGAAGGCGGCGGAGGTTCAAACCACGTTATGTTGAGAAGTTTGTATCCACCCACTAATCCAGGGTCTAGTTGAACCTTATGCATTGAAAGCGTAGAGTTTATTTTAGAAACTTCATTGGCAGAGAAACTGATGCCTTTATGTGGAGTAATATTCATTGATATATTTAAAGTTGATATGGTGAGTACATAAAAGTTTATCAGTTCAATCTGGGTATTTCGCAACCCAAGCTGGGCAGCTAATTCATCAAGAAAAACATTCCAATTAGGGTTTTGAGAGACATTCATAAGAAAAAGGTCTAGCTTTATGGGATATGCACAGTGGCAATTCTTACTGCCTCTTTTCAGCACCATGTCTTGTTTACAACAATCTGACAGAATAAAATGAGCAACCATGTCATTATCGGTTTTAGGTTCCAAAGCTCACAAAAAAACATGAAAGATAATGTAACGTTTATATTCAAAATTGACGTGCCAGTTTTTCTAAGGTAGCTTACTTTGAAAAAGAAAAAAAAAAAAAAAAAAAAAAAAAAAACTTGTTTACAACAATCTGACAGAATAAAATGAGCAACCATGTCATTATCGGTTTTAGGTTCCAAAGCTCACAAAAAAACATGAAAGATAATGTAACGTTTATATTCAAAATTGACGTGCCAGTTTTTCTAAGGTAGGCTACTTTGAAAAAAAAAAAAAAAAAAAAAAAAGAAACAAAAACATTATAAATAAAGAAAGTTATCCATCTAGACGAATTAAAAATAAAAAGTCAAGACTTACTAGAAGCATATGGAGACAATGGTGGCTCAGCCGAAGCGGAAGGGCCTGCAGCTGCAATAGAATGCACAGGGGAAATATCTTTAAAGCCAGAGATTGGAGGTTTCATTTCACTCTTCTTCTTGAATGGTACGGATAAATGGGAACTTGTAGGGGATTGGTCATTACTTGTGAAATGACCATATGAAGGAGGATTGACCGGTGACAGTGCTGCAATTGGTACACCACGAGAAAGCACGTGCTTTGACACATGGAGATTTGTTGGTAGAGGTAGATCATGAACAACAACAAAGGCCAAAGGTGATCTAGAATCATATAAAGAAATGGGCTCCATTGTTTTATCATTTGCACCAGACTCAATCGTAAATACCAGGCAAGATAATGTAAGCATCCATTTCAGCACCAAGCCTTGAACATTTTTCAATATACCTGAATTATGAATAAAAGGCCAAAACAACAATTAAGGACACTTTACTAATTGAAAAATGCAAAAAGAAAAAAAAATGAAAAACAGCCTGAACTGAATTTCAATCTCTTCTCAAGTAAAATCAGTAATAATAAGCAAAACTGTATAATAAGTATTTTCATTTAATATCAGGAATTTGTTTCAAAGTTTGAACTGGTTATTATCCTGCACACTTTGTGACCATGTTCTAGTCTTTTGTTCCTTCTGACGACCTTTGAATTGGAAAGAGGATTAAATTATCAATTTGAATTAATATTTTATGATTCAAGTACTTTTAGAAATGAGATATTACAATGTAATTTTTCCACTTTCTAGCCTTCCTTTACTCATCTTTATAAAAAAAACGGTAACTCCCTTAATTTATAATTGAAAAATCCAAAGATAGTTAGTTCGCACGGATTACAAAATGAACAAAACCTCACTACTAGATCCTATCTAAAAGGTAAGAAGAATCCTTTACAGTTATCCAAGTTTCAATAGTTGGTTTTCTTCGTATTCTTCAATGAGTTCAATCACACGGTCATGTCTACAGACCGGCAACTCGCAATACCAATATCTTACACCGTAATCGTATTAACAAATTTTACAATATTAAGTCATTAAGCACAAATTCAAACAACTTGTACACTTCTTGTGGCAATTTCAAGTGGAATGCAATGTACAGCGCCACTTTTTGGTTGTGCAGCATTTCTCAAGAGGAAATAACAGCACGCGCGGAACTACAAACTGTAACTCTCGGTTACTTGAACAAACAAAATAACCAACCATGCAATCAAAACAAAGCTCCGATTCCATTATCTCGCGTTTTCCGGTGCATACAAAAAAATGAAAAGAAAGCGTAAACTAAACGAAGGAAGAAGCGGAGAAAAGCTACGATTACCGATTGACATGACCGACGCCGTTGATTGCCCCGAACGTCTCAGATCTACGGGATTTTGACGAAATCAACGGCGAGAAGTGGCTGAAGCAACACTAGGAGCAAGGAACGTCATTAAGTGAAAAGAAAGGTGGATCCAAACCCGGAAATTTGATCGATGGTGATACAGTTCCGGGTTGAGATAGTGAGCTCCGAGTCAAGCTCGCCATAGCTGAGTCGAATCGGAGAACCGCGATTGCCAGCGGAAATGTCGTTATTCCACTGGGGAGTCCAAAGGGTGGGTTTTCCCTTTTTAATATAAATAAATAAATCGAGTGATGGTTTTCAGCGGTTTTTTTTTCTCTTTTTTTTTTTCCGTTGCGTGGGGGGCAGAGGCGTATTTTAAATGCGGGACCGAACGTGCGCCGTTAACGGAAAAGAACAAACTAACGGTAAGGGCCTAAAAAGGAGAACTACGATAGGGACAGCGGGTCTCGCTTTATTTGTTTATTGGTTTATTTTCAGTCATGTTGCGGTCGCATAGATGTGAGTGGGTTTGACCATTATCACGGTGTGGTGTCGGTAGTGGGTTCCATAGGGAGTTATGGAACACAATAAGCATTCACAAAAGTAATGGATTTAATTGACTTGAGGTTTTGAGCTATGGTGTTAGGTTGAGTTGGGATGAATTTATGGTTTAAGATATAAAGATAACGTATATGGCATCACATTGTGATTGCTATCACGTTTCCTCTTTGGTTCTTTACTACGACAGACCAGAGGTGGGCATGTGACATTTTCCAATGATTTTGAGCCCGATCTACCAGTGAATCATTCAAGTTAAATTGCCAAATTCGTTTCGACCCAACTGATATTTTTGGGTAACGAAAGAGGGGGAGAAAAGCAAAAGATGACCAAGGACAAATTAAGAATGGATAAACATGGTGCTAGAAACATTCACAATTAACTCCTCATCAGTATTGGCGGCTAGGTGGGCAATGCAACCCATTCACAGGTTCATATTCTTTTCTATTTCATTGATTTTTTATCTTAGAATCGTGCTTGATTCAAACATAATAACTACCCCTAAAGAACATGTTTTGTTTTGAAAAGGTCTCAATTCAAATACCACTAAATTCAAACCTAATCATCTCGTATGATAAATGGTGTGAGGGGCTGTGAGCAGAAAGACTATTCAACTTAACAAGTAAACTTATACACCATCTGTGTTGAAGTCTAAATTGTTATACAGGTTGAATCAGCTCATTGACTTTTCACCCTTGTTTATGCGGATTAAATTTTTTATATTGAAATAATTTTACTTGATACAGATATTTTATAGTAAATATGTGGGAAAATAAAATGGTTTGGAATTATCCTCGAGGCATTTTTTTCTTGTCTAAAAAAATGTATGTAGATAATTTTATGCAACTAATTAAAATTTTCCATTTTTATTACATAATTTACAGTTATTATTATTGTTATTCGGAAATTACTCTAACTAATTGTATTGGTTTTTCAAATACGTTATTTTGTAAATTAAAATTTTGTCATCTCCAACCTTTTTACTTCTCATATTTTAAATGATGGGAAGTTCTTTAAGTTTTATACTTCTTTTCGAAGTCTTTAATTCAAAATTTAAATCTTTGTTAGTCTCTTTTTTTCTAGTATGGAAAATGTATTATGGTTAATCTATCTTCTCATCTAAAGTCACAATATTCAAAGATGTATTTTAGCTTTCTTGGTCCTAGAGTTGGAATTTTACACTTAAGTATTATGATTTTTAGACACGGAAAATTTTGAGATTTTATAAGATTTTTACCCATTATTGAATATAGTATTTTAATGTGTGATAATAGTACCTAAAAATAAGATTTTGTATCAGCAAAAGAGTCAGACTAATTCTAATTGAACCTTAATGAACTTAATTAGTTACATGTTAAATACAATGTTTGACTAATTTCAACTATCCTTGAGTACATGATAATTACACGAATCGAAAATTTCAACTATTTCAAGAACAAGTTTTATCGGTTACATGCTGTCAATTATCCCAACTCGATATGATTTTGTCGAAAAATATTCGAGACACTTTTATTATGTTTATGCTGAGTTGAACAAAACATTTTTTAGATTTTCGATTCAAATCATTCATCGCTATTTTTCTCTTTACCAATACGATCACACGCATGTTCTTTAATCTAGTATCTGAAATAAATCGATGACAGGATAAATTTAACAACAACCAATATATTAAGTTTTTTTTTTTTTTTTCCTTGGAGTATTTACTGCCGGTAGCAGTGACTAATATTTTCACTACGTTGGAGATACCTGGATAGCTAGCCCCAAAATTTAATGTGATTGTATACACAAGGTAGGATTCGAATCCCTGACATTGCTTAAGCGTAAATCAACCCTACCGCTGAATCATACGCTTGAAATTATATATTGAGTTGTTGATAACACACTTTTTCTTTCTTTTATTTTATTTTTTCTTTTTCTTTCGGGGTTACAAGGAGGAAACGAAACAAGGCAAGGAGCCTAAACCAACAATTACAGCATTTATACGGGATGTTGTTTTCATTCCCTATCAACATCAACTTTTTCCAATATTTTTTAACAAAAAATATTATTTTGAAACAAATTTATAAATTTTGACCCACCACTATAGTATCAATAATAATAATAATACATAGATTAGTTTCTCCTGTGTAATTGTATCCAAACATGTTATGAAAAATAGTTTTTAGGGATTAAGTTACTCTAAAAATAAATTTAAAACAGTTCTGTTGAAATGTATTAATGCATTTTGTCACAATTAAAATACAAATATTATTTTTTGTTGTGCAGCTAATTCAATTATTATACGTGATGATTTTTTTTTTATTAAGTAATTTAATAATGATAATGAAATTTAATAAATTGACAAATAAAATATTCCCATTGCATCGCATCTGTTCATTCATCACAACATGTGCATGAGATTGCAAAATCATTTTTCAAAAAAATATATAATACCAAAAAACCATTTAAAAAATAATAATACGAAAACTAGTTTTTAATGTATATTAAAAGGATACATTATGAAAACTATTTTCAATAAGCTATGATTTGATTATCGTTTGTATTGAAACTCTTATTATAAATTAAATGATATAACTTTCTTTTTGTAAAGAAAAATAAACATACACTCATAAAATAATAACAGACCTGGATAGTGTTGACAAGAAAGAGGGGAACCATAAATATTTTTCGCAATGAATGAGAAGGACATGCTAGAGAAAGGTGGAATAAATGTGAAAGGGTGTTAGGAGGGGAAATGGCAGTGAAGGCAGGCGCGGACCTAGGGATGGCAACGGGACGGGTTGAGTACGGGTTTCATGATATCCGTCTTTGTCCCACGAGTTAAACTCATCTTCTTCCTGTCCCCATATTGTCGAGTATAGATTTTCATCTTCATCTTCGTCTCCGTCAGGTGTCGGGTGTACCCGTACTCGTACTCGTCAAAATTTTTATTTTTTTATTTTTTTATAAAAAAAATGATATTTTTAAATTATTTTTTTATTATATTATAAGTATAATTAGATTATTTCTTTATCTCATATTATAATAAATAATCACATAAAAAATATTAATTTTTTTTAATATAACTAAATTAAAAAGTGAGTATTAAATTAAAAATGAGAACGATGACAGGTACGGGTACGAGTATGGGACGGATAAGTACATACCCGTACCCGATTTAATATATCGGGTTTTATCCGTACCTGTACCCGTACCCGATCAAACCAAGTATTCTCCGTCAAAGTCGGGATGAGTTCGGATATTACCCGCGGGTACAAGTATATTTGTCATCCCTACGCGGAGCAAAAATTTATTTTGAGGAAGTCTAAATTTTTAATATTTTAACTTCATAAATTTATTATCATTTATATTTATATTTTTAATATTATATATATATATAAAAGACTCTCCTCCAACCCCAAGCGTGTGGTTCAGCGGTAGGGGTTGATCCACGCTTAAGCAAGGTCAGGGGTTCGAATCCTGTCTTGTGTATGCAGCCGCGTTAAATCTTGGGGCCAGCTATCCCACCCTTTGAGGTGGATACTCCAGGAACGAACCTAAAAAAAAAAAGACTCTCCTCCCTCCACCCCTAATACTTTATTTAGGAGAGGATTAAGAGTTTAGGGAAATAAAAATGAATATGTGCTAATCAAATTGATTAGATATGGAATAGGTAAAAAATAATGCAAAAAATTATAGTTATTTGATAAAATGATATTATGTGAGAAAAAAATAATATTTTAAAAATATATTTTATATAGTTAAATTTATATACAAAATTATATAATTTAAATAATTACATTTTTACATTTTATTACCTAACTATTTAGACAATAATATATGAGTAATCTTGTTTATGCATTTCTTTTTTGGAAAATTTCACACTAATTCTCTCTTAAAAGAGTAAAATTAAATTCACGTAGATTTTATCACAATTTTTTCACAAATTTATTTAAATTATTTCCTTTAAACACACATATTATTTTTAATCATTTGATAATTTCCTTATTTCTTTTTCATTCCCTACTAATCACTTCTCAAACAAGGAAGGTGAAAAAATTTGAAGATGATAATGGGGTGAGTTGCAAGAGATTAAAAGGAGGAGGGAAATGATTTTAAGAGATCGAAATTTTATGGTTAAAATATTTATTTAATTATATAGTTTTATTTATTTATTTTTTAATTATTATATATATATATATATATATGTTTTTTAATATTATGTCTTATATGTTAATATGATAAAGATATTAATTTAATTTTGTGTGTATTTGATATCAAATTTATTTAACTAAAATTATTCTAAATTTAATTTCTCAAAATTTTATATGTTTTTTTTGTTGAATTAATATTTTTTTATCTCAACACATAAGAAATAATGTTAAAAGAAGTTAGAATATTAATTAAAATAATTAAAATATAAAAACTAAAAAATTTATCATAAATTATAAATACTAAAACTTATTTAAAAAATATAAATATAAAAATTACATAGATTTATTTTTAACTGTGAAGAAGATAAGTGTGAAAAAGTGATGGTGTTTTGATTATTATTTAAAATAAAAAAAAAAGTGTAAAGAGTGAAAAGAAAAGGGTATCTGAATAACAATTCTCCCAACCTAGTTACTACGCTATCCATTTTACTCGCGTTAGTTAGGTCGCAAAGTAGAAGGCCCAAATGCAATACAGTCATTGAGATAGCCCAGTTTCGTAAAAATTAACGGGTTTCCACATTCGGATCGGGCACCCGGCTACCCATATCTTCACACCCGTGGCCACCACCTTCCTCCT